GAAGTGCGCAACACTAATGTTAACAATAGCAGAATAAATATATATTGTTTAACACAATGTAAGAGAAATGTATATGCACAGCACCAGCATGTAATGAATAGGAAGATTCTGACAATGAATAGCATTGTCTTGTATTATAGGCTTGGGCTGGTGGATTTTGAGATTTTTTTCGAAAATTATTTACATCTTGCAAGTCTAGTTTTCAAATCTTGAAATATAATCCAACTCCCCCCACACCCACCCCAGCACAGGTGCCCAGCCAGGATTGACGTATGCTTTGAGACATCCTCATGATGTAGAAGGCACTATGTAAATGTAAAGTGTACCGTAAATTCGATTGTAATGATTGTAACAAGGAGAGTTCCTTTTGATTTAAAAGTTAACATGATATTACAATTTAAGTATATCTAAATTCCACATGTCTGTTCAGAGGTACACTACAGGAAATATTTAAGGATCAAATGCATTGAATTTCGAAGATATCAGAGGTTAGAACTTTGTTGGCAAGACATCACCAATACACACTGTGCAACATGTGTTTGAGGAACTGATTTGCTTTTATTTCATGCAATTCCTCTATCATTTGAACAGTTAAATGTAAATGGCTATGTAGGGGTCAGCTTGGCTCAGTTGTTAGCACTTTTGCCTCTAGGTTAGAAGGTTGTGGATTCAAGCTCTACTCTGGGGCTTTTCGCTTACAGTGCATGCTGGCACTACAGTGCAGCATTATAATGATGTATTATTGGAGAGGTTGTCCTTGTATGAGATTTAAACTGATGTCTGTTTGCTTTCATAAGGATTTCATAACAGCATTCAAAAGAAGAAGGAAATGTTTCCTGCCAACAATCCTTTGCATACATTGTTCATTCACTTCATGACTGTTTGTGGGCCATTCCTATGCACAAATTGAACATTAAACATTAAAGATTCCTTTGCACTCTTCGAAAAATAAAGGGAGTTTATCCCATTCTTATCTTATCCCCAAAATAATATTGGTTACTCACTTCATGAGTTGTTTGTGAGACGTTGCTGTGTTCAAATTCACTGCTGGTTGACCAACAAAAATACACAGTCATTACACTTTATAGTTTATCCTGTGAAGCACTTCAAGACGACCTCCCAACATGAAAGACTTCATATCAAATGCAAGAATTATTATTTTTGTTGTTTTGATGTTATAGGTGCTCTGTTAAATGCATGATTATATTATCTAATTCTACAAAGAGAAATAAACGGAGCACAGATTCAGACGGATGAAGAAATGTGTCTTTTGATCAGGACCTAACTTTATTTTATGTCCCAATTTTTGTTGAATGCTGAGGAGAAGTAGAATACCATTTGGCAGAGCCACTAACTTTTTAATAAATTAGATGAGTCTCATCTCTGTCTCAGAAACTGAACAGTTCAATTTGGAGTTGATTTGACTGGAAGATAAAATATAAACTAAAGCATTCTTCATATTTTAGAAATCCAATGACACAATTTTTCTTTCTTTTCTTCTAACCAGATATTTTTGCAAACATTACTTGGGGATCAGTTGTTCCACATTCCACTGATCTGAGTAGAATCAATTTTCTTCCACTTTGTTTCCTTTTGTTTGTAACTTTCAATCTGCAAATATATTAGAAAACAATGGATGCAGAAGAGGTCATATGGCCCAATAAGCTTGCTTGCTCCATAGAGCATACAACGATTAAAAAAAACTTGCTTTACGTAATGCCCTTCACATAGGGTGACATCTCCCCTTCACATGGTCAGGTTGAACACCAAGCAAGAGAGAGAAGAAAGGGGAGATGGCCATAGGATCATTGGAAGAGTTAAGATTTTTATTGTGACTTAAAGACAGAAAGAGAAGGGCAAAATGGAGGCTTGAGGGATGGAGTTCCAGAGATTAAGAGCATAGGAACTGAAGCAACAGATGGTGGGAAAGGAGAGAGTGGAAATGTGCAGCAAATCCAAGTTAATTAAGTGGAGGGGACGAGCGGAGGGTAGGGTAGAAGATCAGAGACATAAGAATGTGTCAGAAATGGATAGATTTGTAGGTGAGAATAAGAACCTTGAAATCAATCCACTGAGACAGGGAAGTAATGAAGACTGGGGTGATGGGCATGTGGGGTTTGTTCTAGGTGACGGTGCAGGCAATAGAGCTTTGGATGAGTTGCAGCTCATAAATGGCAGAGCTGGAGGACACCACAAACACTTAGCCTATTGTTGATTCCATCTGACTGACTGTATCTCCTGGGGACAATTCTGAACTAGATATTCCATTATCCCCAAAGGCAATCAAGCTTAAACTCTAGAATATTTGCCTACAGAAATGCACAGTCACTCTATTTTAGTAAAAGGAATCCTTTGAAATGCTGCGAGACATCCTGCCTGACATGAAAAGTGCAGATTTAAATGCAATAATTATTATTTGTGCACTCCCTACACACTGGGCTTTTTTGATCCACAGACAAAATGTCACCTATTCCTTTCACCACTACAGCCACCCACAGCATGAGAAGCCATTAAACTACTTGGGGTATTTATTCTGCTTAGTGTTCATTGAGTCTTGGGAAAATGTTATTCCTAAGAGATATTTACCCAGATCTTTTTTATACAAAATGGAATTGGCACAATATTAAGTGCTTCTGTTAGGAGGCTTGATGGGAATCAATCCTCCTAAGTTTTATTCTTGGTTGAGGCCTTTGAATTAATAATTTTCAACCTAAAACTCTTAAATCTCTTAAATTCTTAACATTCTTAAATTGACTCTCAGGTTCAAGAACAGGTTGTGTTCCCTTCAGTCTTCTTTACCCTAAGGAAAACAAATTTATCTGTACAAGCCTCTCTTCATATCCTAGAACTCCTAATCTCAGAATCATTCTTGTTACTCTTCTCTGCATTGACTCAATGCATTTTGACCATAGGGTGCCCAAAAGTTTTGGGACATTACAATGTTATAGGTGCTATATTAAATACAAAAACTGAATATCTCCAACAAACTTTTCAAGGTTAGAAACAATTACTTTTAACTTTCAGCAAAGAGCTGCAACTTAAAATTTCTGAGCACCATGAAATTCAGCACAGAAACAGGTCATTTGGTTTAATGTGCTTATACTATGCTGGTTCTCCCCTCTTGAGCTTTCTACTCAAATGCCACTTCTCTAGCTTCCCCTCTAGCCTTTTATATCAGCATTCTTCGGGTGTTTAAGTAATTCTTTTTTAATGTTGTAATTTAGTCAGCTTCAATGGCCATTTATTGCCATACCTTCTATACCACAATTGCCCTATTTGTGAAATAATTTTGAAACCCCATTTTCATTACATTGAGATTAGAAGACTCTAATACTCTCCAACAAAACTTCACTTCCATGACCTCCAACTCCTACAGACCTTTGCAACTTTGTTATCTCTCTCACCAGGCACCACACAGCATCACCCCCATCCTCACCAGGCTCCATCCACACAGCATCACCCCCATCCTCACCAGGCTCCATCCACACAGCATCACCCCCATCCTCACCAGGCTCCATCCACACAGCATCACCCCCATCCTCACCAGGCTCCATCCACACAGCATCACCCCCATCCTCACCAGGCTCCATCCACACAGCATCACCCCCATCCTCACCAGGCTCCATCCACACAGCATCACCCCCATCCTCACCAGGCTCCATCCACACAGCATCACCCCCATCCTCACTGGGCTTTACTAGCCCCTTGGTTCCCTATGTATCTCTTTCAATGTCCTTCAAATTCCTTCACCATCATCTACCTTTTCAATCTCCCAAAGTCCCATTCTCCTTCTTGTACCCCCTGGTCTTCTTCTCCATGGTTATCCTCTCTCTCAGCATCAGCGACTGAACCTTTATCCATTATGTCTCTGGTCTCTGAAACTATCCCCAAAATCGTTGTGCCTTCTCACCTGACGTTTAGAAAAACCTCTTTTGATTTCTTCAAAATTCTCACATAAGGAACATTATCAAATGCCTTCGAACTTCAAGATTCGGATATGCCTCATTCATCAGTTAGTCACACAGTTAGTTGCTTCTTCATAAATCGTCTGCACATTTTTGAGGCAGGACCAATTGGCTGTAAATCAGTAGTTCCTGTCTATTGTAAAATGTTTGTTATAGAGTTTGTACTGTGTAGAAAGGAGATTCTCTAAATTGTTAATTGGTCAATCAATATTGGTGAGGAGGTGTATCTTTACACTGGTCGGTGCATTTCCCAACAATTCATGACCAACCCACAGGAGAGCATTTAAAGTAACCTACACGAGATTGTCCAGCATTTCCCACTGCAGAGGTCCCACTGACACTGCCTGGTCTCTGCTCCTCGGGCTCATTGCTCACTTGGTGAATACAGCGCAATATGCGCCTCATTTCAGTCCTCGGGTAAAGCTGCAGCGAACGGACCTCGTTTGTTTTAAATATTTTAAATGATTTCCAACTGTATTTTAGATGAGCTTTGCGCCTCTTTGCAGAAGTGCTGCAATGAGAGAGAGAGCTTGAGCTGCAGTGGCAGAGCGGTCCAGGCTGCTCAAACACTGACCGTATGTGCAATTCAAGCTCCTGGTGTCTGACTGCCCTCTGGCTCTGATCCAGTTTGCTTTTCATATTAGACCCCAGACCTGTACAGAAACCGAGCGGGACAAGTCCTCGGATTGCACACCAACCAGTTATTATTTTCTGAATGAATTCGCCTGCAGTTTGGGTGAAGTCGGGGTGTTGACAGTGAGGGAACAGACTCAGAGCACACAGATGTCCCCCTGGACCGTCTCTTTCTGCATCAGCTGCTTGTTTGGGGTGGATGTAGATCAGGTCGGAGTTGCACGATTCCGGCTTCAGCGGCATTCTTCCTCCCTGTGAATGTGAAGCCACATCCGTCCAGATCTGGAGAGGAAAGCAGGAAAGCGAAGCAACGTCGCCAAGTTGCAGCGGCTCTCAACACAGCCGCCACTCTTCAAATGTCCGGCAGTGTCGGGTTTGCTGAGCTGCAGCCCTGGGACACAACCATGGGGGAGATCAGGCAGGTGAGAGCCTCTGGCTGACCTGGGTCCCCAGCACAGTGTCAGGCCATTCCCTGGCTGTCAACCTGCAGCTCCAGCGTCTGCATCCACACCTCCCGACTCCCCTTTATTTTGCTTTATTTAAACTTTTAGCTGCCGCTGGGGCTGTTATTGTGTGGGCTTCTGGAGCGAGTGGACAGTGATCCAGGGCACCAGCCAGTGCTGGTCAGTGCAGGCGGGGATCACACTACAGCGTTGCATAAAATATTGGAGCCTTTTTTTTAAAAAAATTTTTTTTGTGGAGATCGGCTGCAAGGGGGGAGAGGCTGAGTTACCATGATTTGTGAGGAGGGGGTCTGGGGTGGGGGTGCGGGGGGGGGGGGGGGGGGGTGGGGGTGATCCTTGCTCAGGTTGGATTAAACTTGCACTGGGAAGCGGTGTGAGGTGCTGGGCTCCAGCTCCAGGAGCTGTTGGGTGGCTGTCAGGGGTGTGTGTGTGTGTGTGTGTGGAGATGGATTTGCGAGCTGCAAAACGCCACGACCCACTGCGCTTTATGCCTGACATTAATTTCCCAGCATATGGAGCCCTTTTAATAAATCCCTCTATTAAATGTTATGGGTGTAGTAACAGCCTCGATAATAGCTGCGATGTATTTGGTATTATTGCACTCAGGTCTGCTTTTTTCTTTAAAAAAAATGTTATCAATGCTAAAATCGCCTGTTTGGGGTACAATATTGTCAGTAAAGACTGGAGAAAGGGACTGTGTCGTTAAAAACAGATGTGATGAACATGATCACTAAAGCATATGGGAAACGACCATTTCACATCTAACAAAAATGCCTTTATGTGGCAATTTTCAGTGACTCCACACTTCCTCGTCCTAAAGTTTAAGGCTTGGTGGTGTTGGCTTTAAGTTTAAGCGATTGCTGTGTGCAATAATCCATCTGTGTTTAATTTCGAAGCTTGTATTTTATTTTATTTTATTTTATTTTATTCCTCCTCCCCCCCCCTCCCCAGATCAGCTAAGGAACTTTCCCACCATGATCTACATTTGTTCAAAATTGTGCTTCAGAAATGTGTAGGGACATCCAATTTGGTAGATGTCACTATTTATTGTATTAAACAAGTAAGAGGTTAGTGATCAAGTGAAATGACTTGCCTGGGTTTTACAGGATCTAACCTGATTTAAAATCTCTCTTTACCCAGGCATTCCTTTTGAAACCATTTTTTAAAGCCTTCAAAACAAGAGTGTTGACACCTTTAAATGTTAAAGGAGCCTCGGCAGTGAACTGTATCAGAGAGTTTTCAAGGTTAGGCTGGGTTCTTGGAACCAGTCAAAAACTAACCCACTTCAACATTCAGCTGAAGCTCTGACATACATACATGTGGGCAGTTTCGGTTCAGATTGCAGCAGGCATGACTGCTGCAGTGCCAGTGCAGCACATGCAATGTGATTTTTGTTTTGTTTGTTATTTTAATATTACAGATGTGTTTTGGGCACACAGAGGTTGATTATGTCTCCATGTGTAGGGGGGCTGCATGGACATCTCAGCCTGGTTTGGGCTGACAGTGACTGTGCTGTTTTTGTCCTAGTTGGAGATGCTGTGGCTGTGAGGAATGATCTTATCCAGTCCCTGCCATGGCCCCTGGGATTGCCTGCTCATCTCTCTTTACCTGCTGCCTGCTCTTCACCCTCCTCTGCTCTCCCCTCGCTATGTCCCAGCCCCAGAAAGAAGCTGCCTTTGGGGCCGAGTCTCTGCCCACTGGCACTAGTGCTGCCTCAGTCTCGGAGTACACATACCCAGATTACCGGGGCAAGGGCTGTGTGGACGAGAATGGCTTTGTGTACGAAATTGGTGAGGAGTTCACTCCAGGTCCTGCTGCCTGTCCCTGTGTCTGTACTGAGGATGGGCCACTGTGTATCAAACCCGAGTGTCCCAGCCTACATCCCCGATGCATCCGCGTGGACACCAGACGCTGCTGCCCTGAGTGCAAAGAAATTAAAAACTACTGTGAATTCCGGGAAAAGAAATACAAACGGCTGGAGGAATTTGCAGTAAGAGAAAACAAAACTCTTGTTCACCTATTGCATGCTTTCCTCTTGTCTTTCCTCCTTTTTTTTCTTTAATCTACCCATTTCCTTTCTTCTCTCCCTTTAATATAATAAGAAGCTTTATCTATTCTCTTGCCAAAATGCCTCTCTTGCCTTTTTTCCCCCCTCCTTCCCTCACTTCCTCTTTTCTTTCCACAACAGTTACCCTGCCTTCCATCTTTTATTTATTTCTTGTCATTTTGTTTATTCCCTTAATGCTAATTTATTCTGAAGCAGTGCTGGACATGTGCTGCGAGCACCTATTAGAGATAGCCAAGTCAATTGCTTCACACCGACTCTGCAACAGGTCCTTGTGTAGTAAGAAGCATAAAAAGCATCTCAGAGAATTCAGTGTACTGGGCAGATAGATTGACTTTCTGAACTCGCCGCAGTAACAGGGATTAAATGAAATCTGTTTACTAATTACCAAGGTGCTTATTCAGACTTTGCTAATGGTTTGTCGCTGTATTTCGTAAGCGAAATGTATTGTTTTAATTATTATTTTAATATGCTCTTCAGTTAGTTTTCCTTATGTTTAAGTTGCTGTTATACGTGTTTTTTCATACTTTGTATTTGGATGAATGTAACTTTTTCAGATGTTATATTGTATTATGTTATTGAAAAGCACATACCACTTCCCAAGTCTCTAGCTGATGATACCAGCTCTAGTATAAAATAATGATAATCCTGATATTTAATAATGCGCTTTTCACATCAGGAGGATATCCCAAAGCACTTCACAGGATACTTCACATTTAACTTTGATGCTGTGATGGGAGTGATGATAGGTTGGGTGTTCTGGGAGGATGAGATCAGATGGGCCAAAGGCTGTTCAACAACAATTACTTGCATTGATATAACGCCCTTCAGAGTTTCTTCATCCATATCAATCTTGTAACCTCCACTAATGCCAGCACTGCTTTGGTCTGTCAGACTAGACTATGTGAGTTCACATTTCCAATGTTGTGCTTGAACCCACAACCTACTAACTCAGAGATGAAAATGCTTCCAACTCAGCAAGGCTGCTGTATGACTGCAAGTTGCAACAACAACAAAATTACATTTGTATAGCGCCTTTCACGTCAGGAAGATGTCCCAAGGCGCTGAACAACGTGCAAACTTGTTAGAATTTTGCTCCAGCTCAGGAGGAGAATTTTATGTTCCTCAAGCAAATCCTCAGAGATATTTTCCTTCTCTGGCCAAGGAAACAAACTGCTGTAAGATTGTTCCACAAAGATTTGACTTATTTTGTAGCATTGCCATCAGATGTGGAAAATTTCACTTAAATCTGCTTTAAGTTGCTTTAGAACTTTGCAATATTTTTAGTGTACTACTGTACTAAAAATCTGAGTTCAAATCAATTTGTTACAGTCCGGGTATTCAGAGCAAAATGAAATCACTTCAACTGCAAGAGAACTTAAACAGTTTAAATAAATTTTCACATCCTCTTTGAATCCAAAGTGACAGTGATGTGTCACATTGTCGCTGTCTAGTCTATGTGCTTATCCCTAGTCAGGAGTGACACCAACAGGAGCAACATTAAATCATTTTCATTTTATTCCTTTAATGTTCATAACATTTCACGAGAATTTTTATTTTAAAAGTGCTCTGTCTCCCAAGTGTGCACTGGATTCACCCACAGTCACAAGAATGCCTCCAATACTGTACTTTATGGTTATCCTTTTTACTTTCAGTTTGGCAGAGTGAATAAGTGAATTGTGTGGTGTGGTGGTAGCTTCTGCCAAATGTACCATTTTCTGTTGTGAAGATGAAGTTGTTAGTGAGGAATACTGAATGGCTTTGCTCACTATCAGAAAATATTGGACCTGAATTTAATGGGTTAAAGTTTGTGACATTTCATAGCACTTTCTTTAATTTAACACTGGCCAAACCAATGGGGGAGGAGTCCCCTTTTCAAAAAGAAATCCTACACTGGACCCTCCATATTCCAGCTGTCACCCCATCTCCAAGCTACTCTTCCACTACAAAATACTGGGAAGAGTTGTTGCCTTCCTGCTCTGTTCATTCCTGTCTCCTATTTTCCTGTATGAGTTCCTCTAACCTGCCTTCTGCCTCACCTACAGCACCAGACAGTAACAAAAACTGTTTGCAACCAGGGCACCTGTGGGTGCTTGTTCTCCTTGATCTCCTTGCTGCTTTTGACATTGCATTATTCTCTACCGTTTTCCTACCTGATTAATCTCTGAGGCTCTGCACTCTCCTGGATTTATTACTGCCTATTCCTAACCCTTCATTTTGTCTCATCCAGTAGCTTCTCCTCCTCCGCCTGCACAGTCACATACTTTCCTAGGGCTTTATCCTCCGTCCTCTCCTTTCACCTACATGCCCACTACCACTCCCCATTGACATCATTCACAGGTATAGAGTCATCTATACCCAAATCTACGTTCCTGACTCTACCCTTGACTTCTGGTGGATTGCTGTTCTGCTGGATTGCCTGCTAGATGTGTTGTGTGCTAGATGTGTTGTGACTTTCTCCAGCTCAATATTGCTCAAATTGAAGTTATTGTGCTTAGATCCTCACTTCAGGCGCTAAATGTATCAAGCTCCTCAGGTGCTCACTTCAACTCATGGGGCCTGTGCAGAACCTTCATGTTTTGGTGACCATCAACTCTCCTTCAACCTCTCACCAAGACTGACCATGTTCATGTTTTTCACCATGTTCCACAACATAACTCATTTCCACTACAACCTCACCTCTACTCAGCCGAAACCCTCATCCACGCCTTTGTCATGTCCAGGTTCAATTTTTCCAATGCCCTCCTCACTAATCTCCCCATTTCTACTTTCCACAAATCCAGACCATCCAGAAATCCACTGCCAGCCCATAGCCTCTCTTGCACTAGATTCCATAAATCCAGCACTTCTCACCTGGATCAATGTCAAAATCTCATCCTCACCTTCATATACCTTCACTGTTTTGCACCAGTGTATCTTTGGGATCTCCTGTGACCCTACTCTCATGGCCACTCCCTCTGTTTTGCCAACTCCAGTTTTCTTTGGCATTGTCTGCACTGCTCCATCAATGGCTAATGAGTTATTAACCTCTTTGTCCCATCCTCTACACCTCTCTGGGACTCTCCTGAAATCTCTCTGCCTTACCCCTTCCCTCTTTTGCTTCCAAATCCCACCTGAAGGAGTTTTGTTTTTTTCTCCATTTTTCTGGACAACATCCACTCAGACTCAATTAATTTGTCTGCCAAGAATCAGACACTCATCTGCCTCAGTCTACCTAATATCGGTTTAGAATCTGTCCCATCTGAACAGAACTCCCCATCAATGTAAATGGTGAACTTTGCCATACTGGGTGTCAGAATCCTCCATTGGGTTGGAAGTGGGCTGAGATGGTCAGAGTGAAGCTCCAAACAGGTGCCATTCTTTTTAATTGGCAGCTGCCATAAGGTGCTTTTCTCCTTGAGATTAATGAACAAACCATCCTTGGCGTTGTGACACATCTGACTTGGAACTTGGATACTGATTGTTGTCTTATTGTTAAACTATGTCTCCTATGAATATCTCCTCAGTTGCTGGCATGAAATAGGCAATTAAGTCTAAGTGATGTATTGTCACAACTGACAGATAGTGCTCTTATGTGAGTGTCTCCATTTTGGTTAATTGTCAATTAGTACCTTTTATAACAACTTGTTTTTTAACCTTTTGCTTGGTTACAATACATTACAATTTACATTTATGTAGAGAGGATGTGTCAAAGTGTTTGAGATTGCTCTCCAGGCATGGGAGCCAAACGGGATGGGGAGGGGAAAGATGACTGAAAGTGCAGTCAAAAAGCCGGATCATGAGCCAGACCTTGAACCAGAGGAGTGTGAAAGGAAATGAGGAAGTTGGATGGAGTTCCAGAGAGTGGAGCTGGGAAGTGAGTGACAATTTTATTTGGGGGGGTTTCTTGGACAGGACACTGGGAATTGAGCGGAGAGGGGGTGATTCCTTTTGATCAGCCGGGTGTCTGACACAAGGGGAAACCCATCACCATCTTAAGAATATCCAAACCAAGCTAAGAATTCCATGCATCCCACCTACACATGGAAATCCCAGAGGGAGATTGTTGGAATGGAATGCACACGCTCCCCCTGGAGGGACGCATTCTGCTTACTCAATTCTGGAAAGTATGAGGCACAGTTTAGCAAGAGTCAAGGTTGGGAAGTTGGGAGTAATATTTTGAAGATAGAATGACTGCAATCCCTACCCAGAATGTCTAGCAAATCACAAGCTCTGGTAGCTGATCACCCCCACCCTCACCCGACTCCACTGGCCCCCTCCATCTCCCAATGTCCTAACCTTTAAATCCCTCCCCCCCCCTCTATCATGCTCATGTCGCAGAATGAAACTGTTTTTTATATTAATCCAGCATCCTGATCTCTTCTTGGAAACCTGTTCCAGTTGTTAACCACCCATTGGTTAAAGATATACTTCCTGTTATCTGTCCTGAAATTGCCCTTTGTAACCCTAAACCTGTGTCCTCTTGTTCTGCTGCCTTGGTGCATTGAAAGTACTCGTATCGTTCTAGGCATACTTTCACAATCCCATTTAAAATTTTGTAAAGGTTGCTTCACGAATGTCTTGTTACAAGGCTAACCAAGCCCTTTCATGCCTAATTGTTACTCAAAGGATATGAATAACAGCTTATTCCTCAAGCACCAGTGATCAGTGATCCTCAAGCACTCATTGCTCTCCTTTGCACTAGGACCTGTGCAACTCTCTTATGTTGCAGCAACCAGTAACCTTGGTGTAGCCTGACCAAGACACTATTCCATTTTGAACTCAACTGATTTGACAATATAGCCCTTCATAGTTTGCCTTGTTTATTGCTGTGTCACACTGTTTTGACATAGTTGTGAAGTGGTAGTTTATGTACTTTTGCAAATTTGCAATTTATGTTCAGAGAAAGATTGTTATCAATAGAAGACTGTATTGGTACTATTTGT